ATACAAAAAGAGTTACAGAGTAGACAAAAATAAATTCTTTTCCAGTGTTCCAATTCTGATGATTTTTAGGAGTTATAGCTGAGGAAGTATCCTCCATCCCTAAAATTGGTTTCCTGCATAACACGTTATTTTGAATGTTACCAGTTAGCCCTTGGGCTTCCTTAAAAGACCGAATAATAAGATTGAAAATAAAGTGAATGCATATTTTGGTCCTATAAATGAAGACATCAGAAGTGTAACAGAAGGCAAATGAAAGATAAATACATTTGTTTTTCCATCTGTTAAGATACAAGTGGCAGGGCGCGGTGGCTCACGCCTGTAATGCCAGCACTTTGGGAGGCTGAGAAGGGCGGATCACGAGGTCAGGAGATTGAGACCATCCTGGCTAACACGGTGAAACCCCGTCTCTACTAAAAATACAAAAAACTTAGCCGGGCGTGGTGGTGGGCGCCTGTAGTCCCAGCTACTCAGGAGGCTGAGGCAGGAGAATGGCGTGAACTGGGGAGGGTGAGCGGAGATCACGCCACTGCACTCCAGCCTGGGCGACAGAGCGAGACTGTCTCAAAAAAAAAAAAAAAAAAAAAATAGAAGATACAACTAAAACATTCTTCCCATTTTTTCCTTAATATTTTGTTTCCTGGCAACAAATGACAAAAATTCCCAATCAACCACATCTTTCAAAATTCTAGGTTTTCTGAAATGCCAGCACTAACATTATTATTTAGATTTTTAGTATATAAAATCATTTTCAGAAAAGGTGAGTGCACTACATTAAAATGATATATTGTGTATGTGTGTGTGCCTGTGTGTGTGTGTGAGAAAGAGAGATAAATTAATAATGAAGCATGCCATTAAAACCATAAGAGTGTGTTATATAAGCACTTTGGAAAATAATTGGCATTATCTGGTAAATTTGCTACTACCCAGCAATTTTACTCTTAGTTATTTTTCCAAAAGAAGCTCTTTCACATGCTCTTTAACCAGAAGGAGAGTATAAAAATGTTCTTAGCAGCACTATTTGTAATCTCTCTCACACATACACATGCAGCTGGAGATTTTTCAAATGTTCATCAAGAGCAGAATGGATTAACATAATACAGTGTGAAGGTTAATTAATTACAGCTACATGCAACAACATGTACAAATCTCATGTATCCAATTTTGGGCAAAAAAAATCAGGTAGCAAAATAATATCCATACACTTCATTAATATACAAAGCTGTAAAAAGTGTGAAATTAACCAGTATTTTGTTTAGGCATATGCAGTGAACCTCTAAAGAAAAACAAGGAAGTGATTGAAAAAATTCAGAATTAGGAGGGGACAGGATCTGAGAGGGTTCCATGATAGATACAAAAATATTTTTCTTTAAGTAAGTAGTAGGTACATGGCTGTTTATTGTATTAAGATTCCTTATGCTTTGCATGTATTTAGTAAGTGTTCCTTTGAAACTACTCAATATTTTGTAAAAGTATAAAACAAAGGGTGCTAATATTTATTGCCATTATTCTATCTAAGCAAAATATTTTAAAAGTAATATAATCCTTCAGTCCTTCATAACTCATCCACTTGTGTGTGGTCTGGAACATTATTTCATGATTTTGTGGCAGTGTTTAATTGCTGTTTTTTAAAAAAAGATAAGATGGCAAAACGAGTAACACCAGTTCATCGTGGTTTGTGAGGCTGCATGCAAAAAGTCAAATTCCAAAAAGCAAATTGACAGGCTGTCTCAGGTCTATTGTGCTTCACAATATGTAGAAAGGAAAAGTTACTGTGGAATAATGGTTATAATCGAGATATTATAAAATATTTTTATTTATGAGTATTTTCTTATTTTGGTCGACCTTTTCATGAAATAATTTCATATACTTTTGGAATGACTCTTTAAATGCCTCTGAAATTCCACATATCTAGGGCTTTGTATGTATTTCAATAAAATTAAATGATAAAACTTACAGTTCTAGTTTTGATGTTAAATTCATTGTATCTTCTCATTTCACATTTTTGCTTCTGTCAAGAACTTGCTTTAGTTAAGAATTATTGGTCCAAAAGTCTTTCACTCTCAACTAAAGTTTGTGGAGAGACTTAAAGGAGAGACCCTTATTTTTACATCAGGATATCAATTTGGAAGAATTTTATTTATTTTTTTCTAGTTATAATTTAATGGACCAAATTATACTATTAAATATTATAAAGTATTACTTTGGATCATTTTATGTTTTAAAAATAACACATACAGCTGGGTTTGATAAGCTCAAGCATGTAATTCCAGCACTTTGGGAGGCCGAGGCCAGCAGATTGCTTGAGGTCAGGAGTTTGAGACCAGCCTGGGCAACATTTAGTAGAAACACTGTCTGTATTAAAAATACAAAAATTAACTGGGCATGGTGGCCACTTAGGAGGCAGAAGAATTGCTTGAACCCAGAAGGCAGAGGTTGCTGTGAGCCAAGATCACACCACTGCACTCCAGCCTGGGCAATAGAGTGAGACTCCATCTCAAAATAACTAACTAACTAAATAAATAAATAAAAATAAAAATACCACATACCAAGTTATTATACAATTATACCAAAATTGTTACAATCAATTTTTTAAAGAAACCTCATTATACGTAAAGTTATACAGTACCCAAATGAACAATGTTCTTATTCTTAAATAAAGCATTGTGTCAACCCAATTTTGTACTCCCTTTTTCCTCTGAGTTATCTAGAGTTTCCTGTGTTCCTCAATGTTTTGATTATAGAATTAAGTGTGTTTGCTTTTTGGTATGACCCTGTTTCATAGCATCTTATATTTGAAGGAATCTCTATGTGAAGTGAAATTAACAATTTTGGCTTTATTACATTTGAAAATGTTGTAAAATTTATACATGAAAACAAAGCCTTCTATTGCTTAATATTTCCACATATTACTCCTGTATGAATGGAACAAAAACTGGCAAAGTAGAAATTGTTTATGAATGCCAAAGGGCAAGCTAATGATGACAAATTATTTACCCTTGGATTCCAGGTAAAATTATTTTACAACTTCTATGATGTAGTTTATAGAGCATGGGTTTTGAGTCTGGCAGACCTGCTTTTACATTTCAGCTCTTTAGCTATACATCTTTGAGTTTGTCACTGAGGTCTTCTCACCTGTTACGTAGGGTTTTCTGGAGACTGAATGAGATAATGTAGGAATAATTCCTGGCACAGAGTTAATACTCAGTAAATGAACTCCCAGCTCCCACATCCCAGCTCAAAGTGGGGAGTAAGATTTTTCTCAGTGTAAGAATGTCAGGCCATTGCAAAGGACAACAAGCTACTTCCTTATCATCCAAAGCACTTTCCAGTGTTTTATGTGCAATAAACCACAGACCTCTGGAACCCTGCCCTGTTGTCTCCTCCCACACACTTCATAGATGTTTTCCTATGCACCTCTTGTATCCTTGGGGCTTAGGGCAAGGGAGAGAAATAGTTGTGTCAGGGAATAGAAAAACTTACAATAAAGGAAGGAGATGAAAATTAACAAGCATCATCATCATCATCAGAAAAATATTTTATAATACGTAAGTTGTGAATAACATGCTTCCTACGTGCAATGGCAAAATAATAGAAAAATGATAGAAAAATGCGATCATGCAGTTTTCTAAGGTAAAAGACCAAGGGAAAATCTACTGAGGCAGAACATTCAGCAGGCATTTCCTTTTTATCGATTTTCTGTGATAATTATCACTATGGAAGGCTTTATAGTGCGTGCCAGTTTCTGAAGACAGAACCAGGTATATAAGAAACTTAATCTAACATTATTTTCCTATGTCTATGCCTAAGGTTATTTTTTTCTCTTAAATCTCTATTACACCATGTGACAATAGCTAAATCTCAGTAAAATTGGGGACTTTTCCTGTTTCATTAGAGATGCAGCTAACTCCATGGATCCTATCTAGCATAAGATATATAGGATGGGAGTGGTAGGATGCATTTGTATAAGAAAATTAGGCCATCGCAGGTATCAGGCTTTCATGCTCTGACACTACACCCTGGTCCCAATGTCAGCAGCTGAAGACAATGGGCCTTTCGATCATGGTCCACATGGTTTATTTGTGTTTTGTATTATTACACAAGGCTTAAGTTTTACCAGTTCTTTGTGTTTCATCTAATATAAGGACTTTTTAAAAATAAAAGACCAGATAGTAAATGTTTAGGCTTTGTGTACCATATGATCTCTGTCACAACTACCTAACTCTGCTATTGTAGTGTCAAAGCAGTCATAGGCAACAGGTAATGTATGGGTTTGCCTCTCTTCCAATAAAAACTAATTTACAAAAACATGTGGATCTAAACCATTCTCACCTGCACTGAAAAACCACTTTTGGGCTCTCTGCATCTTCCTGGGACATATGAGGGCTGTGGGACTGCCTAAGGCCTGTCTGCCTCAGGATCCTCTTTAGAAATGTTTTCTGTTCTTACTTAACATTGGGCAAGGAATAACTCTGGGGTCTTACCAATCTCCATCGTAGGGGCTATGAGCCTAGCTTCACTTTCATTGGTGAGCCCTCTCACCAGTCTGGTTTCAAAGGTCAAGATGCATTACTAAACATCTTACTCTATCTAAATGGCAGTCCATGAGGTTGTGTAATATGGTATTCTAGCGTGGTGAGAGGCTACAGGGCTTTTTCTCAGGTGCATTGTCAATATCCACCTCTGACCCACCATCTTACCCCCGACTCTCTTCTTTCTCCAATCTGCACCAATATAATCAAGATTTGAGGTGGAAATAGAAAACTGGCTCAGACTGAGAACATATTCTTCAAAATATATGTTTTTTTGACATGGTTTTGTACAGAGTCCTTCAACGCTTAGACTTCTAAATTCCAATACATTCAAGCTTTTGCATCTCAAAAGCTTTATCTGTATGAACAGGAAGAGTACAAAGGATGTACAAATGCAAAAAGAAAGTGCTTATGTTCATGTTAAGAGACCGAACTTAGGTGAAACAGTTAAAACACTCTCTCAAAACTTACTGGCTTAAGACAACAACAATTTAATATTTCTCATGATTCTGTGGGTTGACCAGGTGATTCTTCTGCTGGTATTTGCTTGGGGTCCATCACCAGGTTGCATTGAGCTGGCAGGTGGCTGGGGGCTGTGCTCAGTGAGAGCATCTGGGAAGCTGAGCCTCTCACTCCACATGGCCTTTCACCCCAGACTTCTTCATGGTGTGGTGATCTCAGGGCAACATTCCAAGGGAGTGAAAGCAGAAAGTGAAAAATCTCTTTTAAGACTTAGACCTGAAAGTCATGCAACATGACTTTCACCATATTTGATTGGTCAAAGAAAGTTGCACAGCTACTCTAGATTAAAAGGTGAAGAAACGGACTTTACCCTTGATAAGAAGAGCAGCAAGTCACGTTCCAAAATGACATGCCTATTGGAGAGGGAGAAATTCATAGCCATGTTTTACAATTCAATACCAACTTTCTGTGAATCAAATACATAATGGATCTTCATGAAGGCTATGATTTTTATGAGAAAGTTCAGGTAATTATGCTAAATCTGTACAGAGTTTGCAGTGGGAAGAGAAGGAGAGACAAAGAAATTGGATGTTGCTCCTGGTTTAGCTTCTGTGCTCCCTGTACATTCTTCTCAGGAGTGAAGTTACTTCCTTAAATCTTGGGGGGAATGTATCCCCAAAGATTCTCCTTGGGTGTTCAGAAGATGTCCCACATGGATGACTTTTTCTTTGCCTTCTACTCTTCCCCTGTCCACCTTTAAAAAAACCATTTTCTAAGCCCTTTAAACCCTTCCATACTACAATGTCCCCATCCTCACTCCCTTTTTATATGTTATACACTAACTCTTCCAATAGAAACAAACTTCCTTCTCTTGCAGTGACTTGACTTTTTTGTATGCAACCCCAAATGTCAGCTGCCTGTCAGGGACTCCTGTCCTTGAAGTTTTGCAGAGGGGAGAAAGGGAATGTGATCTCAGGGTCTGTTGACTTACTTGGGAATGGAGAATTGGCACATTCTGATTTTGTGATTAGATGTAGGAAAGGACTATGGTGATGGGATTCTACCTTGGGCAGCAAATGCCTTTTCTTCTGGTAAATAAAAAGTAAAATATGTAAGTATACAGAAAAAGTATAATTTCCTTCAAAATTCCCCTTCTAATATGCATAAAAATTATTTCTCTTTTGAATTTAATAACAATAATGCTATTTCTTTTGACCTGTTACTTCAAACCTAACATGCTAAAAGAGCATCCTCATCCTCTATGGCTTGAATTCCTTAACAAATTATTATAATTTACCTGGCAGCAAATTACATCAAACCCAGGTAGCATCTCTCTGCAACTCTCCCTTTGTGTTACTGGAATCAAGAGAGAGGTGAGGGCCAAGGGAGGAAGGAAATTTACTTTATGCCAATGCATTGGAATTACAAAATATCAAGGTGATTTGAACTGACCCAGGAGGCTTGTATTAGTCTTGTTCTTATGCTGCTAATAAAGACATACCCAAGACTGGCTAACTTATAAAGGAAAGAGGTTTGACTCACAGTTCCACATGCCTGGGGAGGCCTCACAATCATGGCAGAAGGCAAATGAGCAAAGTCACATCTTACATGGTGGCAGGTCAGACGAGCTTGTGCAGGGGAACTCCCATTTATAAAACCATCAGATCTCATGAGACTTACTCACTACCACAAGAGCAGTATGAGGGAAAGCACCCCAATGATTCAGTTGTCTGGTCCAGTCTCTGAGATGTGGGGACTATTATAATTCAAGGTGAGATTTGGATGGGGACACAGCCAAACCATGTCAAGGCTCCATGGGAGACTAGGGTCTTCAGTTGGGCTGGAGGGGATTTGGAAAGGGGGAAGAAAATCATATTAGAAGATACAAAGATTTTCACAGGTGGGAAACTGACTGTGGTATGATCAGAGGAAAATAAGAGATCTGAGTTTTTAAAAATAAGTGGGGTATTCTATTTCCTTATTTCTAAAATTATAAGGTTTTCATTGAAAAGAACATTCTTTGTATGAAGGTCTGGTAGCTAGAATTAATATTCTTATTATTTTTCATACCAATAGAAAATGGTAAATTGTTAATATGTATTCTACCTCTTGTTTTTGTGATATGATACCTCTAATAATATTGTCATGGTTTAGGATCTGGATAATTGACACAAAGTGGCTTAATAAAAGTCAGGGCTGGGCATGGTGACTCCTGCCTATAAGCCCAGCACTACAGGAGGCTGAAGAGGGATGATTGCTTGAGTCTAGGAGTTCGAGAACAGCCTGGGCAACACAGTAAGACCTCATCTCTCCAAAAAAAAAAAAAGCCAGACATGAGGTAACATGCCTGTAGTCCCAGCTATTCAGGAGGCTGAGGTGGGAGGATCACTTGAGCCTGGGAGGTTGAGGCTGCAGTGAGCCATGATTACACCACTGTGATCCAGCCTGGGCAACAGAAGAAGACCCTGTCTCAAAAGACAAAAATATCCCTGGCCTGGTGGCTCATGCGTGTAATCCCAGCACTTTGGGAGGCCAAAACAGGAGGATTGCTTGAGTTCAGGAGTTCAATTGCAGCCTGGGCAACACAGTGAGACCCCATCTCTGTATAAAACAAAAACAAGGCCAGGCGCGGTGGCTCAAGCCTGTAATCCCAGCACTTTGGGAGGCCAAGACGGGCAGATCACGAGGTCAGGAGATCGAGACCATCCTGGCTAACATGGTGAAACCCCGTCTCTACTAAAAAATACAAAAAACTAGCCGGGCGAGGTGGCGGGCGCCTGTAGTCCAAGCTACTCGGGAGGCTGAGGCAGGAGAATGGCGTGAACCCAGGAGGCGGAGCTTGCAGTGAGCTGAGATCCGGCCACTGCACTCCAGCCTGGGCAAGAGAGCCAGACTCCGCCTCAAAAAAAAACAAAAAAACAAAAACAAAAACAAAATAAAAGTCAATTACAAGAAAATCATCATAAATGTTTCAACAGATGAAGCGTATGACCATTATAGCACTGCTTGCAATAGCAAAATTTGGGAGCAATCTTCATTGTCCAACAGTAAGTGACAGATTAAATAAATCCTTACAAAGGGATATCAGGTAGTCATTAAAATAACACTGTAAAATAAATTTGTTGACATTTAATTATATGTTAAGTAGAAAACTTTGGCTACAAAACAAGTCCCCAGAATGATCTAGTTTTTATTTTACAAACCTGTCTCTGTATCCCTCTATGTTCCCCATTCCATGCCACGCCTCCGGCTAATTTTTTCAATAAAAAAATCTGGAAAGATACATGATAGAAAGGGTCTGAGAGCACTGATTCATCTCAGTATAAGGAATTCTGAGTATTTCAAAGCTAATTTCTTTGCATTATGTGTATTTTCTGATTTTTCTGTAAAGAATATTAATTTCTTTTCAATTTAAAGAAGCATGTTACAGAAAAAGAGAAATCAATTTAGGAAAGGAGTCAGTGAGGGATACCCGAGTACATCACTGAGGTCAACATCATGCAAGACTATCACCATGGTTTCCCACAAAATATTCTTTGGTGCCACTGTCAGAATTTAGAGCCAGTTAGATTGAATATTATTCTGACTCAGCATGACATTTCTTTTTGCTCTTAGGCTAATGCTTAAAAGCTTGAAACAATGCACTCTATTCAATACATTTCATCAAATATTTATTGAGTGCCTACTATGTGCCAAGTACTAAGAATACAAGATAAGCAAGACATAGTTTTGTTGTAATCTAAGTCAACCCCTCATAGTATGTGTACCACTTTGAAAATCTGAGATGATTGTTCTGAGATTCTACAGGGGGAAGGATCATAGAAAACAATGTCCAAAAAAGTTCATACTAAAATAACCTATTTATATTTTCACTGTTTTAACTCTTGCAATATTTTAAACACAATGTAGAATTATGTTGCATCATTATTTTAAAAATACACACATATTTGTGGCTCTTCACTGTGATACTACCTCTACTCTCTGCTTGAATCAGTAACATTTCTATGCTTATTACTGCTTTGAGAAGAAATTATTCCAATCTGTTCAGTCTTTGAGCCAAATCTCTCAGTCTGACTTTGAGATCCTCACTAAAAACTCTAGTTCCCTCATGAGGCAAAACTCTTTCTAGAGTATGTTTCAAAGCAAAGTTGTGTAACCAACAATTAAACAATTAACAAACTGAAATAGTTTAAAGTTGGGCTTAGTAACTTTACACATTTACTTATTACATTATATATTACAACTATTATTTATGAATTAAAATTTTGATCTCAGTTAAATAATTTCAGTTTCTTCATCTTTGTTGTCCCATTAATTATTATTGCTATATCCAGAAGGTTTTATTTATTTGTTTATTTATTTGCCCAATTCTCTTGGCATGGAGTTTATTTGAATCAGAATGTAAAGAAGCCTGGAGATCATCTTCTACCACTATTTTGTTTTGTGGAAGAGAATATTGAAGCCAGACATAAAGTAACTTGTAGGAGTGTAAATTGTTTTGCATAGTGTCTTTTGAAATGTAGATACGTGAAAGCTGGTATCTATTGTTCTTAGAATTTTGTAATTCAGATTACCAGTCTAGTGTTCTTACCCCGCCTTGGATTATTTCTCCTTACTGTTGGGTAAAACCATTCTTTAGACCTGTAAATTGCTCAAGACACTAGGTATATTTTTTTATGGTACTTGATGGGTCAATTTATTCATTTAACACATATTTATTAAGTACCTACTAAGTGCCAGGTGCTGATGATCTTGGCATTAAATGTTAACAGAAAGTATTAAGGAGTAAGTATTGTTTCAAATCCATACAAATGACCATTTTGTCGCTAGTCGTGTGTGTGTGTGTGTGTGTGTGTGTGTGTGTGTGTGTGTGTGTGTGTAATAAGTGTGTGTATGTGTGTGTGTGAGAGAGATAGAGAATGTTTGTTTCCTTCCTGTGTAAAATCTGCCCAATTTTCTATCTTAACTGTCATTATATGTCAAACATATGCTATTAAAATTAGCTTATTTCTGAGAAGCATGTCTACATTAAGGTTCCTGGGTTTTATTTTATGATGAAATGCTAACTTCTGTTTATGAAATAAATTATTTATTTCATAATTTTGAATAGGATGGTACTTTCAAAAACCTGCCTCTGATTAGATTTGGGGCATTAAACATTTCAATATGATAATTTTTTTTCTTGGGCCTGTGGCATCATTTTATTGTGACAGAAAAATTTTTATTAATAATAAGGCTTTGCTTTCAGAATGCTATGAAATAGTACAAGTAATGTTGTGTAAAATAGTACAGATGCAGCATCCCTAATCCACAGATCCAAAATCTGAAATGTTTCAAAATTCAAAACTTTTTGAGCACCAACATGACACCACAAGTTGAAAATTCCACACATAAGTATTTTACACAAACTTTGTTTCGTGCATCAAACTATTTACAATGTTTTATAAAATTACCTTAAGGCTATGTGTATAAGGTGTATATGAAACATAAATGAATTTTGTGTTTAGACTTGGGTCTCATCCCCAAGATCTCTCTCTCTCTCTCTCTCTCTATATATATATATATGTATATATATGTGACACTCAACATGCACAAGTAATGCCACACTCAGAAAAACTGCTTCCTTCTTTAAATTGTTCGTCTCCATTGTAAAACTGACAGTCAAATTTTAGTAACTCCTGATCATTTTTATGTTTCTTCTGTTCTTTTTATACTCTTCATCCAGCATTTTGGTCCTGTTTGTTGGCTCTCTCTTTTTATAGGTCTGCCCTATCTTCTCTTTTCAGTTGTTATTTGACGTTACTAGTCTTGCTGTCAATGCGTCTCAGTCTTTGGATTCCAGATTGCTATTTTATATCCATCTGCTCTGTCCTGATTGTCAGTGAAAAGTGTTGCTCTTCGTTTGGTGGGACATCAAAACTCTCACAATCTTTGACTCCTGCTTCATTCAGAGATGGGTGGTGTGTGAAAAAGGATAAAGGTTTCTTGGTTATACATTTAGGATACCTTACAAATTTTCCCAAGACTGACATTAACCACCAGTTAGGGGTAAACGACAAAGTGGCACAACAAAGAAGAAGAAGGAGAAGGAGAATTTGAGTAGTTAGTATTTTCAGTTCTGGACCTGGACCTAAGGAAAAACACTACCAAGTTAGTATATCAATACACACAAGTATCTCCTGAACTATTTTTTGTTTGTTTTTGGAGGGAAAGGGAGCTTGGCAACTGCTTGTAGGTACTGATACTAAAATGTTGCAAATAGATGAAGGTTCCTTGGTGCTTGCAAAATAAGCACAATGTGTAAAACAAGCATAGAACTACCTAGTTAACTAATGTCTTAAACCTAACTCATAGGTGTCATAGTATAAAATAGTACTATGGATGCTAAAACCAATGTCTTAGGCTAGTCAAGTACTAAAGATACACTTGTTGATACTACACTAACCTGTATTTTAAACCTTATTTTTAGGTCACACGTAGCACTAATAAAACAGTAAATAAGCACCATAAGAGCATGTCAAAATGTAGGAGGAAGACCACAACTAAACTTCATAGTAAAACCTGCCACCATATGATTAAACATGCCACCAAAGAGTTTTTAGCTAGTTTTCGATTTATATCCCTACATATCTTTGGGATAGAGCCAAAGAAATGAGTTCACGGAAAGGTATAAAGGCCATTTTAAGTCCTGGTTTTGGGAGTGTCAATGTTTGTTACAGCAGCAGAAGGAAGGCTGAAACAGAAAGTTGTGTCATAAACGGAACAAACACTGTTTAACAATTTTTTTTTTGTCTTAAAAACAGCAAACCCCACCATCTTCCTGGAGTCTGCGTTGTCCCCTTCCAGAATAGATGTGGAGTTTTTAAACGAACCTACAGTAGAAGCAAGCCTTCTCCAGGAAATCCCAATCTTTTTCCAAACAGGAACAGCAAGGGTTCTCTCTGTTGTGGCTGTTTTTCCCTCTGGGAATTGGTTTGCCTTCTGAGAGCATCCCAGGGAGGGGAGGTGCGCCCCAAATTGGCGAGGCTCTGCCAAATACCAAAGGCTTTTCTTTGGGAGGAGACTCCTCCTTTGGACGTGAGGCGCCCCTACCAGAGCGCCCGCGTACAGAAACGGAAACCACTAGCTGCGCTGAAGTGAGTCAAGTGATGAAATCAAGACTACACGGGAAGGAAGCTCACGAAACCTAACTGGTGACAGAAGCTGCTGAACCCTGCCCGAGGAAACCACATGAGCCAGCAGTTGCTGCCCTCCCGAAGTGGTCCTCGAAGGCAGCGCACCCCTTCATTTTGGCGAACCGAGGAGGAAGGGAGGAAGCGTGTGGGGAAAATCTAGAACTTCTGTTTCCCCAAGGACCCAGCAGACTGCTCTGGCTACAAGGTGATCACTGCCACCAGGTCAGTGCAGGATTCCTTCAATGTAGACCGGCCGGAAGCCACAACTTGCGCGGAGCAGCAGCCTCGCCGACCGCGCAGAGAGAAGCCGCGCAACAGCCAGGTTTGGCCCGGACGGCGCCCCCACCCCGCGCGCGCGGTCAACGGTTCTCACCTGGAGCGCTCAGGTAGTGCTGGGGCGGGGCGGGAGGCTGGCGCGCAGGCGCGGGAGCGGGGCCTCGCCCCTGCCGACGTCGCAGACCGCAGCTCACCTGGGAGACTCCAAGAGGAAGCCGAGCCGCGGTTCTGCCTCTCCAGGCAACGCGGGAGGCCCAGCGGGAAGGCAGGAGGCGGCGGCGGAGGAGGAGCTCTACTTAGCCGCAACTGTAGCGACAGCAACCGGAGTCGCAGCGGCAGCCACCTGCACCTGGAGCCCAGCCCACGTCCAGCGCCCGCCCGGCCGCCGCTTCCCGCCGCCCTGCCCTGCCCAGCCCACCCGTCAGGTAAGCCGGCGACAGGCGGAGGGAGATGCGGTACCCCTGGGCTGCGCTAGAGCAGGCGGGAGGACAGCCGCGGGGGTTCACGTGTTGGGGACAGGGCTACGGTCCAGGTGGCCGGTTGGAGTCAGTCTCGAGAGCAGTGTTTCGGTTGCCCCTGGAGAGACCCCGAAAGGGGCTCCCCGGGCCAAGGGGCAGGTGGCGCCCCGGGGGGAGCCCAGTCACACCCTCTCGCCCACGGTGCCCCGCCAGTCCTTATGAGGCGGCCCCAGAGGAGCTGGACCGAGATCAAAGACCTAGTGGCCCCGGACTTGCCCCTGGGAGGGTCGCAGCGTGGGGACCCTGAGAGGGAGGGCCCGGCGGGAGGCGGGCGCGCTTCCACTGCGGCTAACAGGTTGCCTGTCTCCTCCAGCCTCTCTGCCCGAGAGGGTATCCCGCGACGGCGAAGGGCATGGCTTTGCCAGGCAACTTTCCCAGCCGGGAACCCCAAACGTTCTAGGCAGCAAACCGTGGCCGCCGAGCCATTTAAATGGTTTCCGAGTGGTTTGGAAAGGGCTCTGTGGCCGGGACGCAGACACCCCTCTCTCTCTGTTTCGACTCTGCACTTTTCCGGGTGCGCTCTCCAAGCCAGAGTTGGGCCCACTTTCCTGTCCAATGGAGAAGAGTTCTTTTCTTCCGTGGCGGGAGGAAATCCAACTGCCACGCACCAACCACACACCATCTCTTTAGAGGACCTGTTGACTTAAGGACCTGTATATCGCGGTTATGGTTTGCCTGTGGCATATGACTCAAAGGTTCAAAAAAAAAATTGTTTCAGGATCCTGCCACGTCTAAGCTTGGGTGTGCCAGGCCCAAATTCCTTTCCCTGCCTAATTAGGCTTTTCTGAAGCCTAAGAATTGAGGGTGAAACTGGCGCTTACCTTAGACTTTTATTTCCTTCTCTTTCCAACTCATCAAAGAAACTATTTCTGTTTTAAGAATCCCATCGAGTTACCAATATTTCCGATTCTGAAAACGTTATTAAGTTAACATAACTTGCTAGAGAAGTTACAGTACATAATGAAGACATTTACACTCAAATTCTATAGCTAAAAAATATTAAAGTGACAGCATTTTAATTAGAAAAATCTCTGCTTGTGGGAAAATCTGTTGCTTCTTTTATTGTATATATTTTTTCTTTGAGTTTGTGGCTAAAATCCATGAGGTTAAAGTCACACCCTGCCATCAGATTTTTTTAAATTTAACTTTTAATATTTGAAGTCTAGCGCATGTTAAACTTTCCGAGCAGTTTGTACCGAGAATCTTTCTTTATGTATTGCTTTAGCCAATATTTTTACAGAGGAGTTTCTAATAATAATAACAATTCCGCTAGATTTGTTTTGTTCTATCTCTGCATATTTTAAAAATATATTTTAAGTTGCACGTTTATCTTAAAATGCCTTATGCAACATATAGTGGGTTTTTTCTTCTTCTTTTTAAGATTAGATGGAAAGCTAAAAAGCCAACCACAGCATAACAGGACGTAATTATTAATTCAACCAGGAATTTTCTACATTTCTTGAAAGACTGTCACCTGATCTCTTAATCTCGTCTCCATACAGAGAAATAAATGTGCTAAATACTGTTTAAATATTAGATATAGGAGTTGTTCCCTGAATTTTGAATATTAATCTTCATTACTTACTGGGCAGATGTTATCAGACTGTCTTTCCTCTTAACCTCTAGTGAGAAATGTAACATGTTTTCATTAGCCAGAGTAACGGTGTGACTTAATCTATCTGTTAAATAGGAAAAATAATACTTTCCTAGATTAAGATAACAAAGCCTTAAAAACAATCAGGAATATCTTCCAGCCCTAGCCTTCTCGGGATCCCTTTCTCACTTTGGAGATTCACTAGTGAAACCATTCATTTGTGAAAAATTGAAGGCAGGAGAGGTATTCTAACTTCATTTCACCCAGAGATGGCATGATCATTCCAGTGGCTTGACTCATGACTCCTGTATCTTACTTTTCACCACCCACATCCTCACTTATCATAAGATGTTTATCTTTTTTCTTTCATATACTTTGTAAGGCCTTTGTAATTACAGAATAGTCTATTGCTTTTTCTTCGGCTCTGATTTACCCTCATTTCTACTTTTTCCAAATGATGCCTGACTTCATGGAGACTACCCAGTGAAGGCATCATGCTCCTCTCGTTGTGAAATAGCATGCATATTGACGATGCTATGTCAATTGAGATTTTTAGTTCCTTCTTGGTATTTCCAAGCCACAGTTAATTTTTTAAGTCAATGTGGATAACATTATTTAGTCTTCTGATCTTTTTATTATATTGGCTTAAAATATATTTTATGAGGCAGCTACCCAGTGCCTTTCATCCGTTTGCAACACTCCAGATTTTTGGTTTCAAGCACACATCCTTAACACTAAGTTTCTTTAAACTTTTTTTTCTTTTACTGCAATCCTCAATAACTAATTTATTCTCTGCCTCAACTCCATAAACTCCAGTGTGAGTGTATATAAATGAAACAAGTTTTATTAATATAAAACAGTGCTTAACCTTACAACTTGGACGTTCTTTATTATTTTATTTTTAAAAATATTGGTTTAAACACATTAGACCTCTTTATGACCACGAATGTGCTGGAGCCTACAATGTGAAAATAGCACTATTCTGTTGAATTTTTGTTTTTTTAAAGGCTGATTTTTCTACCAGCTTTCTTTTTCTCTGTGTCATACATGCACATGCACACACACATACACACACACACACAGGCACATCCCCACTCACATGAAAGAAAATAAATTATTTCTTAAAAACTGTACTGTAACCCTAATTAAACATGTATTGTAGGGCTTGAGGCTCCAGGACCTTGGTGCTAGATTAAGCCTTTAAAATCTTAAGAACGTATGAAGCCTTGTTCATTATACATATTTTGTGTTGAATGGGTTCTCATCATGCTGTAGTGTATTTGGGAACAGGAAAAACTAGAAATATTTTTTTCTGAGGGGATTTTGATGGTAAGAATTAAGTGAAATTTTGAGGGAGAAACATTCTGTCCAGCTCTATTCTGAACTCTTAAAGTTTTATGACTGAGTTAGAGTCCTGGGTGGAGTCTAAAAAATTTATTAGAGAAAACATAGCCAGTTTATTATTTGGTTTATATTCTGTTAATATTTAATACTTTTCTCTTTTACTATGAAACAAGTATAAGAGACAAATTATAGGAATTATACTTCCCCTCTCCACCAAAAGACTACATTGGGAGATTAAAATAGATCCCTAAATGATTTGTAGGAATGTAGTCTTGGAAGCTCTGATTGGATAATTAAGCCTTCTGTAGACACTTTCAATTTTAACCTGCCTTTACATTCTTGGTGAGTGAAATATTTCTCCTAAGGAAAATATTATCATATTTAGGATTTTGGAAACGATCAGTGCCAGAATCATCTTCACATGTATTCAGTTCTCTAGTCCATCAAGTGTAAAAATACATTTGGAATGATGGATACTTTATGGATATAAAATCCTATTGAATAGGAAGGTATTTTCAATTACCTGTTCAATTATGCATCTAGTTAGTATCAAAATAATTCATACTATGTAATTTGGGTAAAATTTAACACAACTCATGTACACTCAGGGGGAAGACTGAATTCAGATCAATTCCAGCAGTGGCAGGAGACGAAAGTACATTCACTTATTGAAAAGCAAAGACAAGTAGGACTCTGAATTCTAGGTCATTAGAGACTGCTGACAATTATATGACATTTCCTTGGGTCATTCTCAGAGTTGGGCTCTTATTTTTGGCACTGAATAGAGAATATTCCCCCAAGTAAACCTTTTCCCTATAATTGTTTCAGTTTCAAACTGTCCAAACTAATTTTCTTTTCTATATGATTGTCTCTTGGACATCTTTAACATTTCTTCATCACCAGAGATTATATATGTTCAAACCAGAACCTTCATCTCATCCAAAAACAAACAAATGAACAAACAACCTGCTCACTTTCTGTATTCTATCTATAGATAGCAGTACATTGTACCATTTCTTATCTGTAATTCCAAAATCAGCCTCTGAAAACAAAGCAAAACAAAATTTAACTCATTTGTTAGCAAAACCTGAACTCAATTGGGGCAAAGCCTGAGTGAACTGTCAGGAGGCTATTGTGATTGTGTATCCAACTTAGTGGATTATGTCCAGCTGCAGAAATAGTGCTGTTTGATTACATAATACTGCCCCAGGCCCTGCTGGGGTACACTCTTACATTGGGTATGGAAACCATATCACCTTTCTAATATCCAAAAAAATCTGATTTTTTAATGAGACAAAGTCTCACTATGTTGCCCAGGCTGATCTTGAACTCCTGGGCTCAAGTGATCCTTCCATGTCAGCCTTCCAAGTAGCTGAGACTACAGGCTGTCAGATCCTGAATTTTGAAACACATTTTGCTGCAGGGATTTGGGGGAGTGAATCATAGATGTGTACCACCATCCAGGTGCCATACCAAAAATCCAGAGGTAATTTTAAACTCTTTTTCTTAGCCTTTACAACTGCTATGGTCTGAATGTTTGTGTTTTCCAAAATTCTTATGTTGAAATCAAATCCAGTGTATTGGTATTAGGAGTAGGGTCTTCAGGAGGTGATTAGGTCATGAGGGCCTTGGCCCCTTTTGTTTTTATAAAAGATAATGTTCTTATAAAAGAGGACTGAGAAAGCTTGTTAGCCTTTTGCCCTTCCTCCATGTGAGGTGACATAGGAGGCCATCTATGAGGGATGTGCCCTCGCCAGAAATTGAATCTGCGAGCAGCTTGATCTTGGACTTCCCAGCTTTCAGGCTGTGAGTGGTATATTTGTGTTGTTTAAATTACCCAGTCTAAGGTATTTTGTTATAGCATGAACTAAGACAACAACCATTAGAACACTGAATCCACTTAGCATTTACACCTTTCTCCAAGCCATAAATTCTTCTTTTACTTCTACTGCTCTAGTTAAGGGTCTTA